CCCCGCCCGCCCGTCGCCATGGCAACCGCGCGCTGACGCGGGCCCCCCGGAGCGGCGGGCGCGGGCCGCCGGGCTAGCGGGCCGGCCGCGCCAGTGTCCTAAGCCCCCTGACACCGCATCCCTCGGGGACCCACCCCCGGGAGCGCCGGTGCCCTCCTTCCCGGCCCGCCTTCCACAACCGGCCCCTCGGGGCCCGCCCCCTGCATCCCTTTCCCCTAGTCGGTGGGGTCGCTTGCCCCCCACTCCCAGACATCCACCTAGAACCTTGTCCCCCGGGGTGTCTCCGCAGAGCAGCCCCGTGCGCCCCTCCTTGTAACGTCTGTCAGTGTCCTCCCACCCCCCCCCCGCGCCCCACCCCCCCGAACCTACCTTCCAGGACCAGATAACTAACCCCTCCGGCCCCCAGATCTGCCTTCCCCACTCTGCCCGGCAGCCCAGTCCTCGACTTCCCCGCCTCAGCATCCTTCCTGGACCCCCGGCACACGTCTGTGCAGCCACCCCATCATCCTTCCCGGGGTTGACCCCTCTTCGAGCTGAGGCAAGAGTCGCTCCGCTGGGTATCCCACGGGCCCCGACCCTGGGAGACCCGCTCCGCCCGCCCGCGCCCCGGTTCCGCTGCAGGCACCCCTCCCACCTCCCCACCTCGCACCCAGCGAGAGGGCGAGAGGCCCCATTGTCCCCACTTCCTTCTGCTCCCCGGCGTCCCCGTCCCCTGCCGCGCTCTTGGCCCGCCCGCCCGCCGACGTCCCGGCTCACCTCTAGTCTAGGGCGGGCGCCCCTCACCCCGTGCGGGCGGGGGCGGCCGGGCCGCGGGTCGGAGCCCGGAGCACCCCCAGCCCCAGCCTCGGGTTCCAGCGGTGGCCGGACCCTCTGAAGGCGCAGCGCGGGCCCATGGCCCCGACCTTCCTCCGGGTCCGCCCGCCGGCGCCCCTGCTGTCCCTCCCCGCCGCCCGCCGCGTCACGGCGGCCGCCCCGCCCCTTTCCTGGGCCCTGCTGTCCCTCCCCACTTCAGCGGGGTCCCGGCGGCCCCGCCCGCGGTGGAGGAGGGCGGCCCCTGCTTCCTTCCCCCAAGGCGGCAGGGGAAGAGGCAGTTCTCCAAATGCTGGCGCTTTTACTCCGTGTTCTCTGGGATCCCCTAAACACTTCCTATCTCCACCCTGGCCCAGCCCTCCTGTGTGCCTTGGAAATATGGCTGGACCCATCCCCATTCTTCCCAGCCCTCGAGCCCGGGACCCAGGGCAGGGGAGATGCCGCGCGGCCTCCGAAGTCTGAGGAGAGGCTGGTCTGAGACTTGCCTGTCCCTAGGGGGTGGCGTTCCAGCGCCCGGGGCCTCTAGGGTCATTCAGCTATACACTCAGGCATAGGACTGCAGTCACTCCGAAGCCGTGGTCTAGCCCCTGAATGGGGCCCCGTGGCTTTCCCCACTGATACCTTCCGGGTCCACAAGTCTGGCCAACCAGACCCTGGGCAAAGGCTGAGACTCCTGAGGGCTGGGCTCACGGGGCCACACCCAGCAGGCTAGAAGGTGCTGGGACAGTGGATGGCAGCACCGGGCTGGGTCTCACCCATTTCGGAAGGCAGTCCTCTCCCCTTGGCTCTGCTTCCCAGGTGCTGGGGGGAGGGAAGCAGCAGTGTCCCCTCTCCCCTGAGGAGTCAGGATGTGTTCAGAGCCTCTCATGGCTGACTCGGAGTTTAAGATGTTAGGGCATGAGGGCAGGCGACCGCCTGGCTCACATGAACTGACATTTCCACCCTGCCAGACATCACTGCCAATCCAGAAAAAGAAGCCTCTAGGCCCAGGCTGCCGACAGTGCCCTCCAGCTGCGGAGGCTGCCAAGGCCCTGCGCTGCCCCCTGGTGGCACCATGTGTAGGAGGGCAGGGCTCCCAGGTACTAAAGTTCAACCCTTTCCACAACTGGCAAGGCTGAGGGCAGGAGAAGGGCAAGGTCCCAACCCAAATCGACCGACAGCAAGGGCAAGGCCAGGCTGGGCTCAGCTGCCCTCTCTCTCCCACCACTGCACCGACCCTTTCCCCTCTGTAAGTCTCCTCTTTCCCAATTTCTGCCTGGCTTGGCAGAAGTACCAGACTCAGAAAGACTAAGAGATGAGAGAACAACTCCAAATTATCTTTTATTTATACAAAAAGGGCATATTTAGCAAAAGACACTGAAAAAAGAGTCGCTATGGCCCAGGAGATGAGGCAGGGAGGTGACAGGCCTTCGGAGGCCCTGCTAGGGGAGGAGTCTGGGAAAAGTGGTGAAAAGTCCTGGGTAAGTGCTGAGTGGTGGGGGCCACAGAAAGGAGAACGCTCCAGTTGGATCAACACTGTTGGCAGGTCATGGGTGGGACTCACAGTGACCTCGCTGCTAACTCTTGAAAGAGTCCCAGTTAGTGCTGTCGACTGGAGTGAGAGCCGCCCCCTGGTTCCTGGAGGGCACCCACCACGGGACACAGGACAGGAAGCCCAGGCTGGGAAGTGCAACTCGGGGTGAAGGCCAGGGAGAAGCAGGTGCTCTGCAGTGGCCGGGAAAGGTCCAGATTCGGAGGCGGAGTTGCGTCCTGTTACGTGCGGGCGTTCCGCTCTGTCTCTGCCAGGCACTCTCTGACTAGGGCCCGGGCATGGATGATGCCTGAGGTGGGGATGCGCAAGTGACGTAGAGCGACTCTCCACAGTCCCCCCCCCCCCCCCCCCAGAGAAAGACCCCTCCCTCTCTACCCCCTTTCCTTTCAGTAAAAAGGACAAGGACTATAATCTAACGAGGGGACTAATACGATTAGAGACGTGGCTAACCCTCAAACCTGCCTTGTTGAAATACAAATGCTCTGGTCCTTCCCCGAAAACGGACTCAATTTCAATTCAATTCAAAACACCTCTCTGGATGGTGATCCTGGCCCTTGTCTAGGCTTGGCTCAGGTGGCCTTCAGATGTCCTTCCCTTCCTCATGAAGGACTGTCCGGTGTTAGTCTCTTGACCAGGGCGGGTGAAGGCCTCACTTACCTCTCTTCAGACGCTCCATGGCGCTCTTGCTACCAGCATAGGTTGGCCGGATCTCTTTGCCCATCTCCTCTATGACCGACAGCAGGTCCGTGTAGGTGCTCTGGGAGCCCTGGGCGCCCGGTGGCTTCATTGCCTGTGTCAAAAGAGGACAGGGCGATGAACTCAGGCCCCGAGGGGACCTCCAGTCCCCATCCAGAGGCAGTCCCTCAGCCCCACTCACCTGCACATAACCCATGGAGGGCGGTCCGAAGTCGTTAAACAGGGGTCTGAAAGGGGCAGCGGCTCCCGGCACCGAGCCCGATGGCGATGGGACACTTCCGGCTGCAACATGCGCGAGTAAGAGGTCAGCGCGGGGCCAGGACGCCTCCTCCCAGCGTTCCAAGCCCCCGACCGGATTCGCCCGATTCCCTCCAAACGGATGCTTCACTTCAGGAGCTCAACTTCAGGGACAAACCCCTCCCCCTGCACTCCACCAACTAGCCCTTACGTGACCACGCCCACTTCACAGGCCAGCAAACTGAGGCTCAGCGAGGGTAGGCGGCAGGCCCAGTGTTGCAGAACTCAGGCCGTCTTCTCCACCACCCGGGCAGGTGAGCAGGGGTAGAGCTGGATCCTCACCTGTAGGGACCGGGGTGCCGGGCCCAGGGGTGCTGGAGCCGGGGGTACTGCTGGGGGCGGGGGCGATGGGTTTGTAGGACATCCCCAACTCTTGGGTGCGGCGGACGCCGGCCGGCCGCTCCTCCGGGGTTGGCTGCTTGGCCGCTCAGCCGCGCTCTGATTGGTAAACCGGCCGCACGCCCCTGGTAAATAGAGCCCAGGCCGGAAGGGTAGGCGGGCACGAACGCTCTCTCACTCCCTATTGGTGCGCGAAGATGTCACTCGAGCCTCCTCATTGGCCGAGACCGGCCCCAACAGGCCGCAACCGCTGCTGATTGGCCTCCGCCTTTCGGGGCTCGCACCTGTCTGCTCCGGATTGGGCGGTGGCTGACGCCCTACGCAATTGGCGAGTTCGCGGTCCAGGCCGGCGCGCTCTCAATCCGATTAGTCCCAAGGCCCGAGAGGCGGGGCCTCGGAAGCCGGGACCCCGGTCCGGTCCGCCGCGGTTCACGCGGAGGGGTCTCCCCGTGTGCGGACGCCGCCCTAACGCTTCACTCGCGCTGTTTTGCACGTCGGCTGCGCTCCGCCTGGTCTCGGTCCGGCTGGGGCTGTTATTGCTGCCGCCGCCACCACCGAACGCGCCTTTCTACCGCTCTGGGTGCCGGAGGACGCAGGGCTTTGACGTTCGGAGCCCTGCGTCTCACCCCGTGCGCTTTTACGTCACCTTTCACCGGTTCAACACCCTTTCCCCGGTCCGCGCATGCGCCCTCCTCCTAAAGCCTCCGTTTGTTCCTATGGCAACGGGTCCCTCACCAACGCTACCACCGCGCCTGTGCTTCTCATTTGCCTAGTGCTCAGGTCCAGGCTGGGTCTCAGGTCCGAGGGCAACCTCAGAGACCCCTCAACCTGGCCCCCCAGACCCCAAGCCGGTGCCTCATACTGACAATTAGCAGGAACAGCTCACCTCCGTTGACTACTCACTGCAGGTCGGGCCCTGTCCCAAACTGGTGAGGAGAGCATCGACTGGAGTTAAATAAGCTGATGGTTCGAATCTCACACTGCCCCCACAGGCGATTTCCTCCTGGGCAAGTTACTCACCTCGGCATGCTTGGGTTTCCCTGTCTTTTAAGAGGCGGACGCTAATAATAACTATCTTCTAGGGCTGTCGTGTGGACAAATGAATATTCATTCTCCTCTTTTCCATCCATTTCTCTATCCAGACCCCTCCCCTGAAATCTCATTCCTCATAACCCTATATCTTAGACTCTCCTCCAAACACTAACCCTTTCTCCCACGCTACTCTTCCTCAAAACTTTTCTGGCCTCGCGTACCCCTCATGTCCCGGGTCGGTAGATTTTCCTCATCTGCAGGACATTCGTTCGTTCATTCATTCATTCATTCATTCATTCATTCAACAGACATTTTTCTGACTCTATCCTTCGTCCCAGGCCTTGTGCTGGACACTGATGATATGGAAATGAACTGGCCATGGCTTCTGCCCTCAAGGAGCTCTTAGTCTCAAGGAGAGACGGACAGGGAAGCGAAGGCACACAGTATAGTACGACAATGGGAAGTCTGGTACAGGATGCATTGGAATTTGGAGGAAGGAGCCTGCTTGGTGACATCACAGAAGTCTTCCCAGAGGAAGTGGCATTCAATTGGCGAATGAGCAAATTAACTGTGATGTATCCATATAATGAACTATTATTCAGCAATAAAAGGAAATCATCTATCTCACCATGAAAAGACACGGAGCGGCATATTGCTAAGTGAAAGAAGCCAGTCTGAAAAAACCATGTACTGTAGGATTCCAATTGTAGGGCGTTCTGGAAAAAAGGAAACTTCTACATAAGGTAAACAAATGACTGGTTGCCAGGGGTGATGAGGGGTAGAATTAAGTAGCTGAACAAGGGATGTTTTAAATAATTGTTTAAAAGTTTGTGTATTTTTTTGTAATGTTCTTTCACATTAAAAATTTATTTTTTAGTGTTTATTTTTGAGAGACAGAACACAAGCGGGGGAGGGGCAGAGAGGGAGGAAGACACAGAATTCAAAGCAGGCTCCAGGCTCTGAGCTGTCAGCACAGAGCCCGATGCAGGGCTCGAACCCACGAACCGTGAGATCATGACCTGGGCGGAAGTCGGACGCCCAACCCACTGAGCCACCCAGGCACCCTGGACTTTTTTTTTTTTTAAAGTAGCCTTCAAACCCAGTTTGGAGCCCCATGCTGGGCTTGAACTCATGGCCCTGAGATCAAGACCAGAGCTGAGATCAACAGTGGGATGCTCAACTAACTGAGCCACCCAGTCACCCTGGGGATTTTTGTTTTTTTTTTTAAGGCATTGAGACTATTCTATATGATACCGTAATGGTGGATACAAGATATTAAGCATCTGTCGTAAAGAGTAAGCTTTATGCAAAATTTAAAAAATCATTTAGGAGGTCAGGGGATCCCAGGATGGAATGAAGAATGTGACAAAAGAGTCTAGCTGTTTTACAAATGTACGAGATGGCCTCACGGAAGGGACGGAGGACTAAGGTGCTAATCTGGAAATGAGTGGATCTGTGACAATGAAAGAGCACTGTCTAGTTGAAGTGGTTTCCTGTGGGGGTGTGGGTTGACAGTTTTAAAACCACAGTGCGCATACACGGGAATTGAAAAGTAAGTAAATGAACATGGATGATTTCTTATTTTTTGGACGAGAAGTTACTTGTAAGCAAGGGGAGGAGGCTAGCGTGATCCATGTGATAATGGGTCGGAAATAGGAGACATTAATATGAACTCGTGTTTAGCTCAATATAGATACAGTAGATTACATACAGAAATATTTAAAAATTGTATATACACAGATTAGTGTACATGCATATCTTCTCTATCAACTGAGAGAGCCTAGAAGCAATATAGCACCCAGATCTTGTTTTCTTTTTTTTTTTTTTTTTAATTTTTTTTTTAATGTTTATTTATTTTTAAGCAGAGAGGGGGTGGAGGGGCAGAGAGAGAGGGAGACACAGAATCCGAGGCAGGCTCCAGGCTGAGCTGTCAGCACAGAGCCTGATGCAGGGGTCAAACTCATAAACCACGAGATCATGACCTGAGCTAAAGTTGGATGCTTAACTGACTGAGCCATCCAGGCGCCCCCCAGATCTTGGTTTCTAATAGCATTCTCCAGTAAAGTGAACCAGCGTTCCTTGGAGAAAATGGCTAATTCTAAGCCTGGGGCAGAAAACAGACAAGATGATCCTGGAGCATCTTATACTGCTAGAAAGTAAGAAAATGCTGAAAAACGAATGAACGAACGAACAAACAAACCCAAACCCACCACACCCCCAAATCCCCAAACCCTCAATGCCACCATGATGGGGGTATTTCAAAGGGACACGGGAGCTAACTGAAAGGGCTCCCAATGGCCCAAACTGGAGGAATATGAACAACAAAACTTTTAAAAGTATTGGATTATAACTTGTATAAAATAAATATCTATGAGCCCTTACTGACATGCATTTCTATCTCTATTTCTATCTGTCTCATCTATCTCTACATCTGTGTCTAATGGTTGAATACGTAAAGGGAGAGAAGAGACAAATCTGTATAGAAGAATTCCAAGTAATTTATGTAGAGACTCTGTCCTTAATGAGGTGGACTGTAACCCCTCACCCCTTAAGTGTGGGCTATGCAGAGTAACTTTCTTCCAGAGAGTGTAGTACGTAATGGGAGAAAGAAAAAGTAATTTTGTAGTATAGAAACCTGACAAACACTACCTCAAGCCAGGTGATCAAGGTCAACATCAACAGTGAAGTCATGTTGATGCTACGTACCCTTGATATGATGGGATGAGAAGGGCACTTTACCTCTGTGGTCTTCCTCCTACAAACCCATAACCCCGGACTAATCATGAGGGGAACATCAGACAAATCCCAACTTAGGGACTTTCTATAAGATACCTGATCAGTGTTCCTTAAAACTGTCAAGATCAGAAAAATGAAACAACACAAGGGAAGCCTGAGAAACTATCACAACCAAGAGGAGTTTGAGGAGGCATGATGCCTAATGTTATGTGGTGCCCAGGGTGGCATTCTGGACAGCAAAAGGATAGTCGGGGAAAATTATGAAATCTGCATAGAATATGGACTTTAGTTAATAATTACGTGTCAGTGTTTATTAATGGCAGCAAATGGACCATTCTAACATAAGATATTAATAGAGCATGATGGTTAATTTTAAGTGCCAACGCGCCTGGGTCACAAATGGCCAGATGTTTGGCTAAATGTGACTTTTGGTGTGACTGTGAGGGTGTTTCTGGATGCAATTAACATCCACTGAATTGGAGGACTGAGTAAAGCAGATGGCCCTTCCCATGATGGGTGGGTGGGCCTTATCCGATCAGTTGAAGACCCAAATGGAGCACCAAGGCTGAGTAAGAGGGAACTTGGTCTGCTTGAGGGTCGAGGCAGGACATCTGTCTTCGAAATTTTGCTGGTCCTCAGTCCTTGAGGCTCAGACTGGAACTGAAACACCAGTTCCCCTGGCTCTCCACCTTGCTGACTGTCAACCTTGGGACTGCTCAGCACCTATAATCACCTGAGCCAATTCCTTACAATAAATAGCTACACACACACACACACACACACACACACACACACACACACACGTCTTCTATTGGTTCTGTTCTCTGGAGAACCTTGCCCAAGCTGGCTGTGGTGGATTGTATACAGGAACTCCCTGTGGTATCTTCAAGATACTTCTGTAAGCCTAGAACTGTTCTAAATAAGTGGAGGTAATATCTTGATGTGGGTGATGGTTCCCTGAGTGCACACACATATAAAAATTCATTGAGCTGTACATGTAAGGTTTATACACCTCATTGAATTCTATAGTCAGCAGTCAAACTATTTAAAGTGGACTCTTTGGGGTGCCTGGGTGGCTCAGTCGGCTGAGTGTCTGACTCTTGATTTCGGCTCAGGTCCTGATCCCCGGGTCGTGGGATGGAGCCCTGAGTCTGGTTCCATGCTGAGTGTGAAGCCTGCTTGGGATTCTCTCTCCCTCTCCCTTTGCCCCTTTCTCCCACTCACTCTCTTAAAAAAAAAAAAAAAAAAAAAAATCAATAAAATGGACTCAATGTAAGTCTGACTTTACAGTTTCTTTTGGAAACCCAGAAGATCTCTTAGCTCCGGCCTGCTCCAGCTGGCCACAGCCCACGGGGTTGGGGGGCAGGTGCCCCCACTAAGCGGAGAAGGGCAGTCTCTGCCCGCTCACTGTTTCTTCCCGGCCCTGGGCCCTGCTCCAGCGATTACTCTGTTGGGACTTTCTGGGCCAGCAGCTTTTGGGGGGTAGGAAGGCATATAGGAGATTTGGAGGAGCTGTGGGCACTTTGGGGGGCCAGCAGATACACGGCGGCCAATTATCACCATCCCATCGCCATCCCCTCCCCCTCCCCCCGCCCCAACCACAGAGCCTGCCAGGCCGGGAGCCCCGCGGGCAACGTCCGTCACCACCCCCAGCCCCTGCAGAGGGGACAGACGATGCCATTTGTGACAGCAGGTGGAGGGGAGGGTGGTGGCGGGGGGGGGGGGGGGGTGGGTGTGTGGTGGCAGGGAGCGGGGGGTGGGCCCGAGCCCCCAGGGAAGCTCTGGGGCTGGGGCGGCTCCTTCTCATCCCCAGGCCTGCCAGACTGGCAGGAGAGATCCCCTAATTGAGAATTAGGGATTAATTGGGATCTGCCGGGCGAGTGGTGCTGAGACCGCTGCGGCCAGCCCCGGCACCTCGGTGTCCAGGCTCTGGGCTGGGCAGGGCGCGGGTGGCCCCCTGCCCTCTCCGTCCCAAAGCCATCTTGTCGGCAGCAGCGATGGTGACGACCAGGTGGGGGCGCTGTAAGCTCCCTCCCCTTCTCGACCAAAAGGTCAAGGCTCCCTCCTGGCAGGTAGGAACAGCCGTGGGTCAGGCAGTGCTCTGCGAGGCAAACCTTTGCTGCAGTTAGCGGAGGCCAGGGCCCGGCTCCACGGTGACTCGAGGCACCGGCTTGTTGGGGCTGTGATTTTAGAGTCCCGGGGCCTGGCTGTAAGTCCCACCTCGGCTTCGTCCTAACTGTGTGTGATTCTATGCCAGCCCTCATCCTCCCAGAGCCTCCTGGTGCTTGAAGAAGCGGCTGGATTAATCTGGGGGCGATGGGGGCGGGGGCGGGGGAAGGGGTGTCATGGCCAGTTCCTGAACAGAAGTGTGGCAAAACGCAAGTAACGCTTTAGAAAGAATAATCTGGCAGCACGTGCTGCATGGACTGGGCCGGGAGAGACCGCGGTGGGGCCGTGTGACCGCTAGCAAGGTTGCTTAGACTCAGCATCTTGGTTTCCTCCGTTTGCAGAATGGGGCTCTAAGGACCACGGCAGCGCTGGAGCGAGGGGACGTGTCGTTTGGGTCCCCCCCCCCGGAAGCAGACGCTGAGGTGAAGTCAGGAATGCAAGAGAGAGAGGGCGAGGAAGCGGGCTTGGGCAGGAGAGCCTCTGGGCAGACGCCGACCTGGCCCCTGCCGTGCTCGGGCGTTTGAGGCGGGAACCCCAAAGCTGATGTGTATCCGAAGGGGCCCGTCTGTCACTCACTCCTCCCAGCTGACCTTCCAGCTCTTTCTCCCTCCCAGAGTACGTGAGGTTGGCCTGGGAAAAGCCCTCACTCCCTTGTGCTACCCTCTGTTGTAACCCCGGCCCTGACGGGAGCCCTTTTGCGGGATGAGGGGCCAGTGCACATCCCAGCTCTGGGAGAAGCAGGTGGCATTTACTCATCTAGGGACATTTCCTGATACTGGCTCTGGGAGGGGCCCAGAATCCAGAAAGGGCCCCTGCCCACCTGGAGTTCACGGTCGAGGGATCTTACAACTTTTGGGGGGCCAAACACTGGGTCCTGCAGGGTAAACAAATGAGAAGCAGAAGCCATCCCCTCAGGCTCCAAGACACTTTACTCTCAGAGAGACAGGGACGGGCAGTGGGGCTTGGTGGGGAAGCAGGGGTGAGGGTGAGGGCGGGACAGGGTGTTGCCCACAGGCAGGGTAGGGAGGCGGTAGGGGGGGTGGGGGAGGGTCAGCTGGAAGCAGAGGCTTTCCGGGCACACGCTGGCAGGCAGTGGCTGTGGTCCCAAGTCCCGTCTCCTGCCTCCAGCTTCCGTGCAGACTCAGCGAGACATCATTCGCACAAACTCTGCCAGGACAAAGCCAAGGTTGCGGGTCTGCAGTCTGGACCCCAGTAGGGGTGGGACCAATATATTGGCCTTGAGGTGGGAGGAGGTGTGGTCCAGGGCAGAGCCCACAAGGGAGTCTTCTGGATCTGGGGAACGGGCCCCCAGGCGAAGAAGAGGGGCTTTGCTTTATGGACAAAACAAAACGAAACGAAACAGAGAAACCGCAGCAACGACAAGACCCCCCAAACCTCGTAACTGAACCTGTTTTCCTCTTTGCTTTGGCTGCTAGGAAGCTCAGGAACAACTCTGGGAGGATTTCTACATACTGATTTTCCTTGGCTTCCTGTCATTATTTAACCCTGGTTTTCCCCCTGGGGCAACGCGGCCTAGAGGAAGAACGAGGTTCTGGTCAACCCGCCTGGCTTCCCATCTCGGCCACATCCGCATCTTTGGCCAAGCACTCCCGCCTTCCTAAGAGCTGACTGTCTTGTCCTGCTTCCGGGGAGAGGGCACAGAGTGCCTAGCGCACGGCGCCGATGCCCCTTTGGTCATTCCCTTGAGCTCTTAAAAACCTCCGGGGGTTGTGCTGGCGCTAAGCGTGGAGGGCAGTGGGCGGTACCTTCAAAGTCCACCAGGCCGTCCCCGTTGAGGTCAATGTCGTGGAGGACCTCGTCCACCTCCCGCTGGCTGAGGCGCTCCCCCAGCAGGGCCTTGAGGGCTGCCCGCAGCTCACCCAAGCTGATGCGGCCATCCCCGTTGGTGTCGAACTGTGGCGGCGTGGGTCGAGGCGTTGAGTCCCCGGCCAAACCGCGCATTCACTCAGCCCTCCGTCACGGCAGACCCGAAGCCCCTGCCCTCCCTCCAGCCCCAGGGGCCGCACCTCCCGAAAGGCATCTCGAAGCTCCCTGACGCCGATCATGTCTGCCGTCTCCGCCAGCAGCTTGGGGCCCATCAGCTCAACGAAGTCCTCAAAGTCCACCTTCCCGCCACCTGGGGGCCGTACCTGTCAGGGACCCCAGGCAACCAGAGACCCCTGCCCGGCCCCGGCCCTCCCCTGCCCTCCTCTCCTGGCCCGTGTCCCTCTCCCCTGCTCCACTAAATGGGTCCTTCCCTCTCGCGGGGCCCCATAGGCTGGATCATCTGCTCAGTTTTCTCATCTAAAAAGTGGGGATAACGGTCCTTCCCCGCCCCCCCCCCCCCCCACCTTGTAGGGCGATGGGGAGATTCTTCAGAGGCAGAGCAAGTGCCTTGAGAATGACCAGGGTCCCCGGCTCTGGGGGCCAACCTGTGGAGGCATCTCTCTTCCCTGGGCCGCCCAGCTGCTCAAGCCATGGCCATGGCCCCCGGAGAACTGGGCTTGGGGCAGGTCTGAGGCACATACTGATTTGCTGTGAAATCTCGATGAGTTCCATCTCAGTGGGCATGTAGCCCAGGGTCCGCATGCAGGCGCCCAGCTCCCGGTAGCCGATGTAGCCGTCACGGTCTCGGTCAAACTCCTGGAAGGCGATCTGCAGCTCTGCCGGGCAGGGTGGGGTCAGTCCTTCCCACTCGCCCCCCCGGACCCCAGCCTGGACCAGCACACCCTTCCTTCGTCCTTTGGTCGAATCATTTCCTCCTTGTAAACATCAGTTTCTCTTTGCTGTCTCAGGGCCTTTGCATGTGCTAGTTCTTTAATTCGTTCTTTCAACAAATATTTAAGGAGCATCTACTATGTGCCAAGCTCTGCTCTAGGTAGTGGGGATAAGGCAGGAAGGAAGGAAGGAAGGAAGAAGGAAGGAAGGAAGGAAGGAAGGAAGGAAGGAAGGAAGGAGGAAGGAAACAATCCCTAACCTCATGGAGCTCATGGAGCTCACATTCTGGAACACTCTTCCCTCTTCTGGTCTTCGGGTCACCTGCCCAAGAAAGTCTTCTGTCTAAATTCAGTCCCCTCCAGCCCATTTGTTCATTTCTTTGCCAGCGCTTAGCATCGTTTGTACTTGTTGACTCATTGACATCTGGGGCCCCCCCCCCCCCCCGAGGACATGGGCTGTATCTGTCTAGTTTGCCACACTCCCTGTGCCCAGCACAGGGCCAGGCACGCAGTAGGCACCCAGGAGGCGTTTGCTCAATGAACAAACATAAAAGGGAAGTGAGACCCACCTGGCGAATGAGACCTGGGGACTGACAGCTGGGGGCTCTGTCAACCCCTCCCCGTTCGGTCTCGTCCCCATCTCTCTGTGATCTCCTGCAGCCCTTCTCTTGCCCCTAGTTCCTTCCCGGTGGAGACCACCGAGGCCCCACCCAGTGTCCCCACCCTGTGCGCTCCACCCTTTGTCCACCCCTCTGGGGACTAGTCTTTTCCAAAACGCTTTACCTTCGATCTCCTCTGGCCGCAGCTCCCGGTCCTGGAGGGGGGGTGGCGCACAGAGAGGTTAAGAATCCCCTGGACCACCCTGACACCTGCACCCCTTCCTCTTGTTCTTTGGGGCTCCCCAGTAAGCACCCCCAACATGCACGGGCAGGGCCTAGGTCATCTGACACTGCTCAGAGCTGGTGGCTACCACTGCTGGCCTGGGCATCTTGGGCCGCCCCTTCCCTGCCCCCTGCCCAGACCTCTGCCCACCTCCTGCCCCTCCCCTTGCAGAGGTCACAGAGCTCCATTTGCCAGAGGTGGATCTGAGGTCGGGCAGAGCCTCAGACGTGGCCCTGGGGACCTCCCGTGTGTCTCTCTTGTTCTCTCTCTCAGAGGCCCTGCCGCCTCCCTGCCCACCCCCTGGGTGGCTGTCTTTTAGGTTCTCTGTTCCCTCTCCTCTCTCTTTCCTGGTGGGTCTCCTTGGGTCTCCCCGCTGTTTGATCCCCTTGATGTTTTCTCCACTCTTCTCTGTCCCACCCCCTGGATCTGTGTGCCTTTGCTCCAAAGACCCCACTCAAGGAGAGGCAGAGAGGAGGCAAAGGCAGGGGCTTGCCATACATACGAGCTGGGTGGCCGCGATGCTGGGCCGCAGGAAGATGCAGGCGGGCCCCACCAGGCTGCTGAGCACCGAGTAACCCTGGATGCCCGGCCCAGGGTCCCCCTGCTCCTCGGGGCCGGGGCCGGGGCCGGGGCCGGGGCCGGGGCCGGGGCCGGGGCTGTGGTGGGAGCGCCCTGGGGAGGAGCTGGGCCACTGCCAGCGCTCCTGCGGCAGAGCCAGCTATGAGCTGGGGCGGCGGCCCCTCCACCCTCATTCACCAGCCTCTCCCATCTTTGGAACCGGGCACAGGAGAGCGGGGGCCTTCACCCGTCAATACTCTAGGCCGGAAGGGTCCACCCCCTTACCGTTCAACTGGGCAAACCGAGGCCCCCGAAAAGGCAAGGGACTGGACCAAGGTTGCTCAGAAAGCCGGTGGCAGAATGGGACCTTCAGCTCCAGCTCTGTACCTCCTGTCTCTGACTGGCAGAGAGCAGGAAGAGCGGCCGGCACAGGGCAGCTGGATGGGCACCCGGGGGGCCGAATGAGCTCGGCGGGAAGGCCCGGGGGTCCGTGGGAGCCAGGACCGCAAGGGGCCGGAGTCTGGGGCCTTCCCCCGGGGAAATCTTGATTGGTCTAGGGTGGTGGGAACCACCCCCTCCACCCGCCTGCCCTGCTCTACCTCTAACCCCAGCCCGGCCCTCACACAGGAGTCTGCCCACCCCACCTGACCCTTCCAGGCTCCAGCCCAGCCTCCTGGCCTTGGCTTCTCCCCCTTAGCCGTCCTACCTTAGGCCCCCGATGTCGAGGCCGTTTGGCACAGTTTCCCATGGGCTCCTGAACCATGCCAGGCCTGGAGTCCTGGGGGCGGCCCAGGGCTGAGCCTCAGCGGATGCTGTGGGCTCCTGTCTGCCCCCAGCTGTCCCCAGTGAGAGCCTGGGAGCATTGCAGGGGATTTTCCTAGGGTTTCGCGGGGAAGATTGGGAGCGGGTGGGCAGGCGGGGAGCCCTGGGCCCGGGGGCTTGGGTCCTAATCCAGGATTATCTCTGAGCATCCCTGCTGGTGAGGGGGGCCACTCAGGAGCCAAGGCCCCCTGGAAGGCACAGCCTCCCTGCGCTCACTCTGAGGGTCTTCTGGGCACCTCCTCTCCAGCACTTTCTCTCCCAACCCCGACCCCTGGTCTCCCCCAATTAGGAGAGACTTAATGTCTTCAGAAGCAGGGCCCGGACACGGGAGGAGGAAACCAGGTGCCCAGGGTGCCAGGGCGGGCTGGGGCACCTCTCCCCTCAGAATGGTGGTATGAACTCGGCAGGCCCTGCCCCTACCGCCTGTCCTGAGAGGAGGCCGTCTTGGCCCGGTCCAGAAAGCTCCTGACCCTCCGGGCCAGGGCCCTTGCTCTTACCTTAGAGCCCCTGGCCAGCCTGCCCGCCCTCGGCACCTCTGCCTGGACCAGCCCCCCGACCCTGTACTCAGGTGAAGAGCGGAAGGGAGACAGCTCTGGGTGCTGTGGGCTGGACGCGGGCTTCGGTGAGGGCAGAGGTGGGGAGAGACGCCAGCCTCCGTCCTGGGCAGCTGACTGAGTCTGCCTCCCACCTGCACGTCCCGGGGCTCCTCCCTGAGCTCTCCCCTGGGTCTGTCCTACAGGGTCCCGGTTGCGGCGGGGGATCCCCGCGGCTCCCTCTGGTGCCCCACACCCCTGTCCCCTTTACCTGCCCGTAGGCTGCCTGCACCCGGGCCTCCAGTTCCTTGAGGAGTGCCCGCCGCCCGTTGGCTGCTGGGCTGGCAGGGGCCCGGCTGGGCCCTGGGGAGCCCTCAGGGGGGCTGGGGTCCCCCGCGGGGAGACTGCCATCTGCCTGGCCCTGGGGAAGGGCCATGGAGACCAAGGCTGGGCGCCTCCTCTTCCCACTCTGGTCGCCCCGTTCCTGCGGGAGGGTGGCTGAGTGGGCAGCTGTGGGTGCGGTCCCCACAGGCTCCCGGGTACTTTCCCCTGTCCCTCTCTCCACAGGCTGGTAGGGCTCTCCCCGTGCTGCTCACCCAAGTCCTAGCCTCCCCCAACCCACCGGTCTCCAGCCCCATGCTGGCCACGGACTACCTTGCAGAGCCCTGGTCACCTGGTCACCTGCCCTTCCTGGCTTATGGTCTCCCCCCCGCCCCCCCACCATTTGGGTCTTGCTCGCTGCCCCTCTCTGCCCATCTCTCTGCGTCTGTCTCACCCACGGCCCCTTGCCAGCCCCCCTGCACTCTGCTGACATTTGCCCTGCTGTCTCTGGGGGTCTCTCTGACCTCTCATACCCATCTCTGTCACTCCCTCCCTCTGCTCCGTTGGTCCATCTGTCTGTCTGTCCATCCTTGCTCTTCCTATTTTCCCTGCC